AGTACCCTTCCTAAGGTCACAGAGCTGGTCAGTGGCAAAGCAAGGCCTGCTAGCACTCACACGGCATCTCTTCTTCAAGGCTGCATTAATCCACCCTATACACAGAGACAGGACAGCTTTCATTTCTACCATCCCACGCTTTCTGTCCCTTTCGCCCTCTCTCCTCAGCCTTCAGGACTAAAGGAGCTCCCCAGCTGAGGGGAACCTCACACTATGTAAGAGTTTGGTTTCTGGGCAACTCCTAAATAATTGGATTTCTGTAACTGCAAATTGGCTTTTTAAATGCATGAGAGGGATGCTCAATATTGAAAGTAAAATCATTCCCAATTTATTCATTTGGTTCATTTTTCTATTCCGAACTTACATGACGTTTTCTAGGCTTCCTAGCAAGGAAATAAATCTAATAAGGTTGAAGTACATTTTACATTGACTTTACATTGACTCCTGTTATTAGATTCTTACTGGTCAGCTTGGCTGGGTCTTTCTGAATCCCAACTCTGTCACCCATCCTCAGAGCTTTGCGTCATCTATGCCTTTTTCCATGTTGTTGATAAAGATACTAAGCACTTTCCTAACGACTTCCTTCCAGGTTGACACTGAACCACCATTGATGACTTGGGAGATTGGTTGTTGAACCTCTGGGTTCAAGCACAGAGTCTCAGAACTGGAGGACACCTTGGGGGGGAGGTACCTAGTCTGGATCCTTTCTCCAAGGAGCCCTCTATGCTCATTTAAATGCCTCCATCAATGGGAAAGTCACGCAGGGTTTACTAAAGTGGCTCATTATGGGGCAGCTAACTGATGCAACAGACAGAACACTGGCCCTGGAGTCAGGAGGACCTGAGTTCAAATCCGACCTCAGACATTTACTAGTTGTATGACCCTGGGCAAGTCACTTAACCCCGATTGCTTCCAAAAAAAAAAAAAATAAGCAAACCCCTAGTAAAGTGGCTCATTCCACATTTGGATATTGCTAATGATTATCAAATTTCTCCTTATTCAGGGCTGAACTCTACCTCTTTGCGATGGCTTCTCATTCTGCCCTCTCCCCCACTCACCCACAAGAGAGCCGGCTCATACACAGAGAGGTAAGGGTATGGATGTGCTGCTCTCTCCTTCCCTACTCCAGATTTTACTGGGCATCCATCTTCTTCCCACAAGGCCCGTGTTTTCTGTTACAAACACACAGATGCATCGGAAGACGTATATTTCCATGCCGCTTTTGCTACTATCACCACTACCTGTAAGATGCTAGGCCTCGGTCTTCTCATCTGTAAAAAGAAAGGATTGAACTAGATAATCCCTAAGGCCCCTTCCAGCTCGAGCCCCTAAGTTCCTGTGGCCCCCATCCTCACTGGGCTCACAATCTGGAAAGGGGGAACGAGGAAAACACACGAACAAGGACAATATTATGAAGACTATGGGAAGAGAGGAAGAACAGGTCATTTCTCAATAGAGCCGGGGGGAGGAGGAGGAGAAGGGAAGAAATCTCAGAGTCACTGAGAGGTTTCTTCCCTTTTCATGGAAAAAAACAAATAAGAAAGAGGGAAGAGAGCACAGACCCTACAAACGAGGGGTCAATGAGTCTGATTGTGGATTCCTGGCCAAATTCTAGAACCTATTAGTAAAGCAACAATTAGTAAATACCTAGAAGTGGTAGTGGTGATTTAAAAGAAAAAGGTG